TATATATATATATATATATATAAACAAACTTTACACACCAACAAAGGTACATCAAAGCCATTTTTAGTAATTTGAATACAAACTTTACACACCAACAAAGGTACATCAAAGCCATTTTTAGTAATTTGAATAGGTTGCATGAATGCATTAGAAATGGCATGTAGCATATGTAACGTACACGTGGGGCAAAAGGTTCTATATTACATGTAAAAGTTGACAAGAAAACGAAATCTTTCTATTGTGAGGAACGATATCCAAAACTTGTTGCGTCAGGAAAGGCTCTAAATTTTTAATCAAAGACCAATTTTAATGCCGGTTTAGAATCACCAAATACATTGCCTTTCCGTACTACATCTTTCAATTAATTCGGGCAACATTTATTTGTCTCAATTTCAAAATAGGAATGGTGGAGAGAATGATTGCACTATTTTATGTAGTTAGGATTGTAAATATCAGGGGTCCGCACAACATCAAAGGAGCAATAAAATTTTTTAATTAATTTTGAATAACTTAAGATAAAGCATACTGATGAATGCTATTGCTCCTTTGACGTCTCATGTACTGTATATTAGTAAATCGTTGTTGTATGTTTTATGAAAAAGAGACAATTTATTTTTAACACAAAAATGTCACAATCACTCTTGTTCTTTGAATTTCAAATCAAGTAGTTGTGGCCTAGACTAAGAGTTTAGAAAAGAAAATTTCTTAAATTTCATGACATATCCTATGTCATCCAATTTAACTTTTAATGGTTATGACTAATTGTGACCACCTTGTAAGAAAGATAACTAGTCACATGGTATGTAATCACAATTTATAATTTTAAGGGTACGGTTTATATAAGGCCAAGGTTCGAAACAATCAAAATAAAGCACACCTTCAAATAGTGTTGAGAAATGGGGTTTCAATACTGAAAATCTTTGTGATATCTTTAAAATATATTTTCATTTCTAATTATAAAATTTAAAGCTTTAAAAATAATTGTAGATCGAGCAGATCTATGAAAATTTGAAAATCTTGAAAATTGACGGTCCAAAAATACATTACAAGATGTACTATTTTCAAAACTTGAAATCCAATGTTTCCTTTATTTTCAAATACCTCGAGGTCGAGATCATCAATTTGAGGATATTTGAGCATCAAAACAACCTCTACTAGTAAAATCTTAGAGCCTCTCCCTTATATAAACTTTTTCCTTAAGAAGTTAAAATTTGAATTGAGAGGCCTTGTATGAAATTCTGTCCCGAAGAAGGGTTCTTTATTTGCGGTCACTTTCCATGTTGAACTGTAAGAACAAAATAATTTTTAAAGCCGTTGGGGTCCTTAACTTTTCCCATCAAACTATGGTTTTTCCAGATCCCATGTGCAGAATAATAGCAAAAACCAAGGTGAAAATTTGGGGTTTGAAGGTGAATTTTTGAACTCCTTAATCGTCGGCTGGGATCCAATTAGGGTTTTTGTGGCAGAAATCCCAATGAAAACGACCTTCACTCGGCTTTAATGGCGAATATAACCCTGAATCTGTCTTATTTGATCCTCTGGTTTCACTATTACTTTTTAATGGTTTGATTTTTTCTCATACATGAGGCAATGCGGGATTTGGACTGGACTTGAAATGCTCATTCTCTCTTTGTTTGTGGTGAAATAAGCTTTCTCTGCCTATTTAATGGCGACATGTTGTTATCTCTGTATTCGAGGCTAGCATTTTCGCCTTTTACGGTTGGAAATATTTGGGGGAATTCCAAAAAGCTGGAGAGAGACTAAGATATTATATTTGAATCATTTTTTCCATGGAAATGGTAATGGCGGATTGTCAATCAAGGACCTTTTAATGGATGATTTTTGTGTAGAATTTTTGTCAATTTATATACTGATTAATAGTTTCCTGTAGTGATACTGTGTAAATTAATATTCGGTAAATTATGATTTTGGACGAGTCTGGGAGAAAATTTGAATGTGTGTTTCAAATCATGCAGAAGAAGTCCATGATTATAGATGGGGGGTTCTCAACTTTAGCTCATCCATTTTGTACCGAGGATATAAGGGTGTAGATTGAAGATATATGAAACAATTATTTATGTAGCTTTGGTTTATTCGGTATGAGATGATGCATGATGAATTGAAGAAGCTAGAGCTTTTGTAAGGAATTTTTGAATTTCGGTTAAGTATGGTTTCGACAATGGTGCCCTGTTCTGGTACCAGGAGCTCCTTAGAAGAGATGCTTGACTCCATTAAGAAAAGGGATGAGAGGTCCAAAGATACACCGCCTGCTTTGCCTGTTAGACCCACCTCAAAAGCTAGATTGCCCTCTTCAATTCAAACAAGAAGGTCTTTACCTATTAATTTCAAAATTGCAGATGCCCCAGATTACCTTCCTTGTGATGCAGTTAAAGATATTTCTAGTGCTAAGAAGCTCAGAAGCGAAGAGAGAGAAAAGGTTTCGGATTTGGTTTTGCCAAGTAAATTGAGTAATGGAGATGAGGTGGAGAGCGAGCCCAAGGGTAAAATTGATAATAGTTTGATTGAACAGGGAACTGTTGAATCGCCATATATTAGGAACAGAGAGAGGTGGAAGTCGATTGAGAGGTTGGTTGAGAGTGATGAGTTGGAGGAGACTAGCGAGCCTCTCGCCTCGTCAGTGCCTAAGGAATTCAGGTGGAATGGTGAAGATGGTTTTGTTCTTAAGAAGGTAAAGGGTTTCCATATATTGTTATTATTGTTATCATGATGATGATGATTTGTCAACATTGAGGAGACTATTCCATTCTTTGATTGATAAATAGTTTCACAAAACTAAAAGAATTCCTTTGGAAGTAAAGGTCTGTCATTGATATTTGCATACTTACCTGTGTTTGTGATTTTTAGCGGCTGTAGCTGTTAGTAGAAAATTTGCTTACAAATCCAAATTTGGGTGACTATTTTTATTTTTGCAGTGGGATACTCGTGCTAATTTTTAAGTTTTTATCCATCTATACACCATCATATAGATATTTTCTCAGTGACAGTCTCTTGAAGCATTTATCCTAAAATGCTTTCAGATGATTAATCTGGGTTGGCTTGTGATGAAAGTTAGTATTAGATCTGTACAGGCTAAGGAACTGCTAGAATGCTGTTTATGAGATTTGCGGTGGAGCAACGTCTGCAACAATCAAAGTGTCAGATATTGGACCATATATAGGATAAAGTTTGTTATTATTTAATGTTTGTAAAGGAAAATGGCTAAAATTTGCAATTCCTGTCAGACTATGGGTTGAATACAGTGAATAAATTATACAGATTGACACATGAAATTAGCTGTACTATATTTGAAAATGTAAAATTTTCTTCCACTGGTTAATATTGAACAATGAAGGGCATGATAGCTATGTATGAATGCGGGTCATTGTGTACAATAGGTATTCTGTCCTCAATCCATTGCTACCAAACCAAGTTTTTACCAAAACCAGCCCAGGCTTTCCAATTGTTGATCCATGTGCTGGATTAGGTGTAAGTGTGGACACTGTAAGGTGCAAGCCAGTTTACTAGAATTCATTAATTGCATTTATCGAACTCCCTGTGGTTTGTTCTTTCTTGAAATAGTTGTGGCTGCCAGAATCTCTCAAAACAGTTAGCTATTTAGCATCTGTATTTTTCAGAAGTATCTGTTGCGCTGCTCTTTAAAATTTTGCTTACTATGATCTACCCTGTCAATTGCAAAGTAAACACTTGAAATAATTTGCACAAGAGTAGTATTTATAAAGGAACCATAATATGAACCAACGCGAAGGAAAATTAAATAAAAAAATCTAACTTGTGCTCAGGATTCTTTCCATATTGTAATTCAATTTTCTTGTATACCTCCTTGTCCATTTCTTAAATTATCAATAGTTTTCAGAGTTAAAAATGTGAAAATGCAAGTGTCTTGGTGTTGCCCTGGGGTGTTATATGAGTGACTAGGTATGCTCTTATGAAGCCTCCGTTACCTATATTTCCTTCTCCCTAGATCTCTGCTTCCCCGTGGTCTTAATTCATTTCTTACTGAGAACATCATTTGATTTTACATTACCAGGTGGGGAAGCCATTATCTATTTTTTGTACATCATCACCTTCCTTAGCTGGTTGAGACCCATAAGAATACTTATTTTCATTCCTTTTTTTTATTTAATCATTTACTGCTTATTCTATCTGCACAGTTGGTCATTTGCCATCTTACTTGAACAAGTACTTTCTTGTGAGCTGTGTTACAAGTATTCTTCCATTTGGGTGCCATAACCTTGTCATACACGTATCAACACACGTGCTAGTTTTATATTCTTTTGGATTCTTCTGCTTGTTTGTTAACCATGATTGCATCATTTTAGAGACTCGATCTTCTCTTTTTTTCTGATTGGGCAAATTGAACTTTTAAAATGTCTATGAAACTTCCAAAATATCTGCAAATTGAGTAAATTATGGTATTACTGATTATCTCTTGCTCCACATTATGAAATGGAATACTAGTAAAACATTTGGATTTGATTGTCTCTTCATAATATAGCTGTGTCACCAAATCCTCTTCCTCATAGCATGAGGAATTTGATAACCTGTACAGGTGTCAGACACTGAGACATATGCCCCTCTCCATGCAATGTAGCTTGTGAGGTGCTACATTCTCTTAAACACCAACAACTTGTGTTTTTAGTGATAACATTCAAATACCAATGGGCAATTTATAACAAAGAATGTGCATGTCAGATGTAGTTACTACTCTAGCACGTGCTCTTATAATATCACTAGATTTAGAATTATGCATGAGGAAAGGTCCAGAGCATGACATGCTTATTTTTAAATCCTAAATCAAGTGGATGAGAGCTTAGTGTTTCTTACACAAAAAGTAAACATTGAATAGCCTGCAAGACAGTGCGAAGGTCAAACCTTTCAGCTTTGACACTTCTATGTGTAGTTGTTGGCACAGGTTGTTAAATTCTTGTGAAGAAAAACCTAAAAAGATGGGTTTCTGTCTTGTGGCTTCACCCGGTTTAAACAAGGTTTTTGCTAGAGAAGAACGGAGGAACAAGATTCATGTAGTCGACTTCAAATAATTGGGATAAGGCTTGGATGATGATGATAATTTTGTCCTCTGCACCCAGGTCCTTGATTTTTGTAGGGTAGGGTGGTTGAGGATGTGGCGGAATATACCCTAGGGCCAAAATGTGCAAGTAAAGTGAAATCATGCCTCTTTTATTAGATCTAAGAGGAGTTTGGCCCTTTTTTACGACCAAAATTTCGCACATAATTGCCATTAGCCTAACTGTGTCCTATTTTAGTGCTAATGAACCTCGGGACAATCTTTTCTTTTGTTCTTCCAAATTCTCCAAACGTTTGGTAATTAGGGAAAATTCTAGATACCCCCCAATATCAACTTTCTAAACATCCGACTCTCCAAAACTTTTTGTATCCCACCATAAACCCCATTACTATTTTTCTTTATATTTACCCCCCAAATCAAAAAGTAAATGGGTTTAAGACAAGAGTGCCCTTACTTTATTTATTCTCTTTTATTTGGAGTCACGCGACTCTCTCTCTACCGACACACACACTCTCTCTCTCTCCCCCAAAGTAAAAACCTATCCTCTCTCATTCTCTCTCTCTTATTCGCGGTAATGCGGTCTGGCACATAGGGTGTCGGACCGCATTGAGTTCCAGTAACGTGGCTTGTAATGCGGTCCAATGTCCAGTGTGCCGAACAGGGTAGATTTAAGTTAAGTGCTGGACCCAATTTTTTTTTGTGGTCTGGCACTTTTTTGTGCTGGACTGCAAAAAAATTTCGGTCTGGCACCCTATGTGTTGGATTGCATTACTAGAGAGAGAGAGAGAGAGAGAGCGAGAGAGAGAGAGGGAGAGATGATATAGGTTTTTAAAGAGACAAAATGAGAAAAAGAGGGAAAGAGAGGATATGGGTTTTTACTTTGAGAGAGAGAGAGAGTGTGGGTAGAGAGAGAGAGTCACGTTACTCCAAAAGTGGGAGAAGAGCAAAAGTAAGGGTATTTTTGTCCTAAATTATTGACTTTTTGATTTGGGGGGTAAATATAAAAAAAAATAATAATGGAGTTTAGGGTGGGATACAAAAAGTTTTCGGGGTAGGACGTCTAGAAAGTTGAATTTGGGGGGATCTTTATAATTTTCCCTTGTAATTATGTGTATAAAGCTATTTAGAGAATGTGGTTGTTTGGCACAAAATATTCCTAATAAGGGAGCGGTCTTTAAGTACCAGGCCCAGCCCATTCACTTGGTCTCCTGTGTATTTGGCTCATCCCATCTTGTGGATTAGGTCCGTGCTCAGGGCTAACAGGGATGGGCCTCAAAGATTAGTACATGCTTATAATATATTAAATGTTATAGTTACCATATTTAACCTGTCTTGTTTGGATTTGAATCTATTTGCATCCGCAGCAGATTCCTATGTTTGCTTCTGCAGCAGCTTCCTATGCATGTGCACAAGTGTAAACATTTATCTTTTGTTTTTTTTGGAAAATAATTAAGCATTGTCCAACTTTCTCCTCATGAGGTATATCTATTTATCAATTATGTGTCTAATCAACTCTCTCTCACTGCTCCAATGGAAAGGGGATATTCACTCTATAATAATTAAGATATTCAAAAAGTAATGTAAAAGGAACATTTGCATTATGGTAAATCCTTTAAACACAAAGTACATAAAGAGGTACAAATCAAATAACTTTTGCATGGCAAATACTGCAGTGGGAATGAGATTCCCAAAGGTCATCCCTGCTCTGGCCAACCTCTCTTTTTCCAAATCGTTCGCAATTTTATTGGTCTCTCTTGGGGCATGATGGAAGCTAGCTATCAAAAAAGAGGGCAGGATAAAGGACTACCTGCCTGTCTCTCATCTGATCAATTTCATTTCTCATGCAGTAATATTTCCTCAATTTTTCTAGAACTTTATTTTCCAAAACAATTTTGGTTATGGATGTTTTAGCCTAATGCTGGTTCAAACAACATCCTCAAATGCCATGATTGCCAGACTTCCATGTTCGCAGCTACTACCATTGAAGAGGCTGCTATATCTTAGCCTCTTGACCTTGAAGCATTATCACTTATGGATTCATTTCTCTCTGAAAGGTTATTCTTATGACTTCTATTGTGTTTCTCATTTGTTTGGGAATATATCAGAACAATACCTGGAACAGTTTCTTATATCCTGAAGGAAATGTAGAATCTTGAAATATCAAGACGGGTACAGTTTACCCCTGGTTGGAAACATGCTTGCCTGTTACTTTAAACACAGAAACAGGGTAATCGGTCATTTGGAAAATTAGTAGGTTCAAGTATTATTCTGATATTATTCATCATGTGTGGGTGCTTTAGGTACCTTCCTGATACGCCCCTTTTATGGGTCTTGGAGCTTATGTGGTCCGTTAATGGATGTTGTCATTTGATTACCCTTATTTATCCACTTTTGGGATCCTATCTTTGTTTTATTTGAATGTCTCTTTTTTATTGATCTCTTTGTTTGAGTTGAACCTATTTCTTGAAATTTCAGAAGCTTCGAGTTTGGTGCCAACTTCCTGATGGCCAATGGGAGTCTGGAAAGATACAGTCGATTTCAGGGGAAGATGCTGTTGTATTGCTTTCAGATGGAAGGGTAAAGTTTAACTGTCGAGTCTTGACTATATGAATATACATGCACATAAATACATACAGTATAGACATATGTATGTGTATATGCATGTATATCTGTGGCTGTGTGCATATGAGTGTGCATGTGCGTATGTCGATGTGGTTGGTTGGGTTATGTTAACTGTTCCTGTTGTTTACCTTCTGTTTCAAATTTAGGTAGTGAAGGTGCAGACGGACAATGTGCTGCCTGCAAACCCCGATATCCTTGAGGGTGTGGATGACCTTATACAGCTCAGCTACTTAAATGAACCATCAGTTCTTCACAATCTGCAGTATAGATATTCTAAGGACATGATTTATGTAAGTCTCTTTCATTTCCAGCTTAAAAAGATTTCCCATTTCTCTTGCTTAAGAGCTATGAGTTTACTGTTTCTTATGCAGACTAAGGCAGGTCCAGTTTTGGTTGCAATCAACCCTTTCAAAGAGGTGCCTTTTTATGGCAATAAATTTATTGGATCCTATCGGCGGAAACTTATGGATGATCCACATGTCTACGCCATTGCAGATACTGCTTTTAATGAAATGATGAGAGGTGACTGTGATAGTAAATTTGTCTGAAAATTTAATTTTGACCTTGGTGCAATTGTTTTGTTTTGTAATTTTCAATTTTGAAATAGTAATTCAGAATTTTTTTTGGAGAATCGGTGTTTATTGAATAAGCATGTCCGATGTTTTTCCTCAAGCATTGACAGTCTTTTGCAATGACTTCTGCAGATGAAGTGAATCAATCGATTATAATAAGGTGAGTCAAAGCAATTCAGTTCACTATTTTTGCTTTGATTTTGAAGTATCTGATTTAGTTTTTTATGATGAATGTCTATGATTAGATCATGTGCAAGAGTATTGGATTTGGTTTTACTTTTTTGATAAAAGAAATTTTGAAGCATCTTCCACTTTTGGTTCGTTTTCAAAATATATGCTTCGTCTTTTGCCTTACTCTTTCTATCTTGTTACACTGTCCTGTTAGGAGGTTTGCATGTGTATATTGGCAAACTTTTACCTTTTTTCTTTACTTTTTGTTATACTGTATGAAAGAGTGTTTTTGGTCTTTTTCTATGCGAAAGCTTTCAATTTGCTACTGGGTATAGGGGATTCATATATGCCACCTGTCTCACAGCCATCCGATTTGAATGGACAGCTGAGATAGCCCCAATCACAATGTCACGCCTAAACACTATTTTAATTTTTTCAATACAAATCAGATTGACACTAAATTTGGGGCATCCAATGCTCTCATAAATTCGCACATATAAAAAGTGTAAAAAAATATTTCCGGTAAAATAACATGACCAAAATGCCCCTGAAAGTTTTAGGAGCAGTTTGGTCATTTTAATTTTTGGAAATATTTTTACTATTGTTTTAGGTGCGCCCCATTGAGCTAATGACATGCACCAAATTTCATGTTCATATGATATGCATTAAAAAAAAAAAAGTACTTTGAGGCATCAGATCTAGGTCAAACCTTCAGGGGTTCACTTGTGACATTATGGCTAAGGGTATCCCAACCATCCATTCAGATCGGACAGCTGGGAGAGAGTGGCATATATTAATTTCCTATGCGTAGTTGCATAGAGAAAGCTTTCCCTAGACCATGCTCTGGGCACATTGTGTATATAGGAACCAATGGTCTTGAGAAATGATATTGGTAATCTTCAAAAAGTTGGCGTTATCGATCTTGTAACACTTTATATCTCACTACAGTGGTGAAAGTGGTGCTGGGAAAACAGAAACAGCAAAGATTGCCATGCAATATTTGGCAGCATTGGGAGGAGGCAGTGGAGTAGAATATGAAGTCCTGCAGACAAATGAAATCCTGGAAGCTTTTGGCAATGCAAAAACATCAAGAAATGACAACTCTAGTAGATTTGTAATTCTCTTCCTTTCCTTTTTGTGAAAATATTTTACCATCTATCATCTTTAATATTTTGTGATGACCACACTATCTTTCAATCGAACATGTAATTTTATTTACTTTTGATTTTTATAGGAGATTTTCCTTAGTATTGTCAGTTGTCATATTATTGGTTTATGTCGGTCTTTCATTTGGACATGTATAATCTTCATGGGTAGTTGGGAGATATTTTCTGTCATTTGCATCATGCTTTTGTGTTCTCAATATATTGAATGTTTCCTTGTGATTCGTTTCAGTGTTATGCTGTTTACTTGATCAACTAATCCAGAATTTACCATGTGGATGATTATGTTGGTAACTTTTACATTCAGATCCATCTGATACAAATCTCTGGTGCTTTATAGGGAAAGCTGATAGAAATACATTTCGGTAATACTGGAAAGATATGTGGTGCCAAAATCCAGACATGTAAGGAGAATATCACCATGAAACTGAAATCTATAGTTATTGCAAAGCGCTATGGTTTCTCTTTTTCAATTACAATGCCTACTTATTCATATGGATTCTGACTTTTGATTCTCTTTTGTTTCTGCAATGTTCAAATTACCGCTTGCTTGTTGGATAGTTTTGCTGGAGAAGGTATTTTCACTCTCACATCCCGCCACAGATTTGTTTGTCAATGTCTTTATTTTCCTAAAATTATTTATGCATATTTCTGTGCAGTCAAGAGTGGTTCAAAGGGCAAAGGGAGAAAGGTCATACCATATCTTTTATCAACTTTGTGCTGGAGCTCCTCCTTCACTTAGAGGTATGTTATGTGCTTATTGTCATCTTTACATATGATATGATTCTTTTGTTACATCGTTATGGCCAGAATGGGAGATAAATTCACTTGTGTGATTTCTTTACATAATCTTTCGTGAATATCTATGCTTTTGCCGAACTTTAAATGTCAAACTCGAGATGTCCAGGTGTTTCTTATATTCCTCGTTTTATATAGTGATCTGTCCATTTTTTATGGTGATTAATTTTTAGTAGAATATTCATTGATGGGAAAGACCGGACATGTGCTTTTTCCTAGTCCGCTCAGTTCCTCAGGACCAGCTGGTTCATTGAATTGGTCATGAACTTGTGGAATGGCCTGTCCAATGTTTGGGTCAGCCAGTTCACTGGTCCAGAACCAAACCAGCTGGTCCCAATGAGGTTGCAAAATTACTAGAAAACCTTTTTTTTTTAAAAGGCCATTTTTTTTTTTTTGTTCTTTTAAATTTCTTTAGGGGCATTTGCATAATGTACATCATTTGGGGTTGTGGGGGTAAAATATATTGTTTTGAGAGAGATCATTTG